TCGAGTGCGGGCACATGGTCACCTGCACCAAGTGTGGCAAGCGCATGAGCGAGTGTCCCATCTGTCGGCAGTATGTGGTGCGCGCCGTGCACGTGTTCAAGTCCTGAAGCCAGGCTCCATCCCAGGCATTTCAGTGTACAGAAGCGACTGGAAACTGAGTATTCAAAGGCTGAAACTATTTTAAAAAATTATTTCCACTACTAACTGGGGACAGAAAGATTCCTCCTAAGTGGTGGTGACGGTGGTCTGCGCCGTATGCCTGCCAGCCTGTGGCCGGGCTGATTCCCAGCTTGTGCGGGGCTCCATCCCATGTCCATGATCACTAATCGCTGATGAAGTCAGACTGCTTGCAGCATTGGCTCCTGCTCTCTTTGGAGAACATTTATCCTGTTCTCTTATTTCTCCTTCATTTTCTTTTTAACTTAAACAACTCAGATGTTTGAAACTTCTGTTCTCTTTGGATGAGATCACGTCCACAAGTGGCCAACATGGTACACACTGAGTGGTGGCCCCTCTGAATGTTCACTTTATTAGTCGTGTAGATTTTAAATGCTACTATTTGATGAATGTAAGTTTCCACATTGTTGATCTTTCTCGTGTAAACAAATTGGGAACTGACATTCTGTAGTCAACTTGCCAGGGCCTTAGACTCAACATGTCCATTTCTGTTCAGGTACAGCTTCTTAGAGCAAGGGCTGCATCTAGCTTCTTTCGTTAGAGAAGTGTGTGTGTTAAATTCTTCTTTTTAATGTGTAATCAGTTTACACTGTTTTGTATAGTGAAAGTGTATTTTCAGTGCTACCGCTAGCTAATTTGAACTTTAGGAATAAAATTAAGATTTTAAGAAATGCTTTTGCTTCCATTGTCCTAGTCAGCTCCTAATTCACTTGGGTACAGCACGAGTGGGTGTCTGCGTGCGGTCTGGCACCCTTCTTCGCAAGAGACGGGAGCACCTTCAAAGACGTGCAGTCTTTGCTGCTGACGTACCAGTAAGCTTAACTACGGACTTGCTGTTTCCTGTGACCAGGTATTGTGCTGGGTGCTTTCTAGTTCTCTCCAGCATTCTGAAATTGGTTGCCTTGCTTTGCAAGATGGGGAACCTCTGAGAAATTAAAGAGCTTGTCTAAAATCTTAGAAAGTCGCTGGGACACTTGGCTGGCTCAGTTGGAAGAGCATACGACTTTTTTTTTTTTAAAGATTTTATTTATTCATTTGAGACACAGAGATTCAGAGAGTGATCATGAGCAGGGAGAGAGGCAGAGGGAGAGGGAGAAGCAGGCTCCCTGTTGAGCCAGGAGCCCGACGTGGGGCTTGATCCCAGGACCTGGGATCATGACCTGAGCCGAAGGCAGACAACCATCTCAGCCACCCAGGTGCCCCGAGCATACGACTCTTGATCTCACATGAGTTCGAGTCCTGCGTTGGGGGTAGAGATTACTTAAAAAGTGGGTGAATTATTTGGTATGTGACTATCTCTTAATAGAGCTGCTACCAAAAAAAGTGGTAATAAAATATTTGATACTTTAAAAAGGAAGTGGCTAATGTCAGGATGTGAACCTGGCTCTGACGCTAATGTTTTCTTTTTTTTTTTTTTTTAAGACTTTATTTATTTGAGAGAGAGAGAATGAGAGATAGCACGAGAGGGAAGAGGGTCAGAGGGAGCAGACTCCCTGCTGAGCAGGGAGCCCGATGTGGGACTCGATCCCGGGACTCCAGGATCATGACCTGAGCCGAAGGCAGTTGCTTAACCAACTGAGCCACCCAGGCGCCCACGCTAATGTTTTCTTAACTCTTCCACTACCACCCAGCAAATGAGAAACCTGACATGGGCTTATGGAGAACGGTTCCTAGGACATGAATGATCTGAAATCACTTTACTTTCATATATAACTCCAGCCAGGGTGGTGTTTGGTTGAAACCAACTGTGGACTCATTCCCACTGGTAGTGGGCAGGTATGTTTTTAAGAAATGCCTAACTTCTCAGCTGAGGCCTATTGGGTTTTATTTTTTGACTCTGCAGTGAATAGCGCACATGCCTTTAAGTGCTCAGGATCCACAAGTCAGTCAACAAATCTGAAGATTATAGCAAGGGAGGCAACTAGTCTGCCCCTGGGTGTAGGGGGGAAAGTTTGCCTAGTTGTGAAGAAAAGCATGCCTTCCCGTGTCTTCTGGTTTTGAGGGTCAAAGCATGCAAACCCAGGCCTCGTGGATATTTCAAAGAACCTTCTCTCCTGTTTGACTACAGATCCCAGGGTGGGTGTTGGCCACAGTTTGTGGTAAGCAGCCTGAGCAGATCATTACCTCACCAAAGAAGCAATAAAACTCACCCCCTGCCGAAGCTTTAGGAGCACTTACTCTATTTATACCTCTTGTGAGAGTGTGAACTCCAGAAATTCACCTGGCCCACAAATCGCTGATTTGGTGGAAAGTCGTCTTCAAAGCCTGGCCAGCAGGTGATAAACACACTAGAGTAGAAGCTGAGCAGCAGGTGCTGGATTGTCTTAAGTTAGAAAATTGAGATTCTTTTGTACATGGCCTCAGCTTCAAATAGCTTGTTTGGTGTTTCCTCTTGGATTTATAGAAGTCTCAGGTACTTGTTGTTAGCAAGAGAACAAAAAACTCTTAATGGTGTCTTTTCTTTTAAAATTTTATTTGTCAGAACACACAAGCAGGGGGAGCGGCAGGGAGACGGAGAAGTGGACTCCCCACTGAGCAGGGAGCCTGATGCGGGACTCGATCTTGGGACCCCGGGATCACGACCTGAGCCAAAGGCAGACACTCAACCGACTGAGCCACCCAGGCGCCCCTTAATGGTGAATTTTTTTAAGGTAGTGTTTTGAATTAATCTTGGTTTAGTGAGTAGCCAACATAAATTTTTAGCCTAATAGGCTTGACAACTCACAATACTGACTGACTTGTTTGGCAGGGGGCAAACATTTCTCCCTGCAATGTACATTTTCTAGCTGGCATGCTCTGTCTCTAATTTTTTGAATAGGTAATATATGGATAAAAGTCTGAAGGTTACAGTGGAATACAGTGCTGTCCCCTTGCTCCCATCCTCACAATATAGAAGGATAGCATTCGATGCTTTGGACATGCCATGGTGTTTCATCCTTTGTAAACCTCAGGTTCCCTAGAGGAAGGAGGGACGGAGAGGAGCCTCTTTTCTAGATTAGGAAGCTGTGATCTAATCCATGAAGCACTCCCTCTGGCTTATGGTCCTTTTTTGGCTTCATCAGTTATGGTTTATGGACTCAGAGCAACTATTTGCAAGCATTTAGCTCAGGCTGGCCTCATCTAAAGCTCACTTTTTTTTTTTTTTTTTTTTAAGATTTTATTTGTGAGAGAGAGGCAGAGGCAGAAGCAGGTTCCCCGTGGAGGAGGGAGCCCAAGGTGGGACTTGATCCCAGGACTCTGGGATCGTGACCTAAGCCGAAGGCAGACGCTTAACTGACTGAGCCACCCAGGTGCCCTTTACTATTATTTGTATTTTTATTTTCTTTAAAGATTTTATTTGACAGAGAGTGGGAGAGAAAGCCAAGCAGAGGGAGCGGCAAGGAGAGGGAGAAGCAGGCTCCCCGCCGAGCAGAGCCTGACCCGAGGCTCCATCCCAGGGTCCTGGGATCATGACCGGCTAAGCCACCCAGGTATCCCTAAAGCTCATTTTTAAAAATAACAGGTCTGTACAGAAACTGTAATGGGTTATCTTTGACTGGTGTGTTCAGGACACCCAGGGGGGCTCATATGCGACCACTACAGGATGGTGGCCTGCCTCAAGCCTGGAGAGACCAGTGTCTTGGTTCTGAGGCATGTCCCTATGGTAGCTTTGGCTCCCCAGCCCTGGCAGCCCTCTCTGCCTCCTTTTGGCAGACCTGTGTACTCCTGGAAACATTACAGGAGAAACAGGGCTCTCCAGCCCCAATGACTGTTCACCTGGAGAACACGGTTATCCTTAAAGCAATTCCCAGATCTCGAGGAGGCCTTTACTGGACATCAGGGTAACACTTATTCGGAAGTTCGGAGAACTCAGGCTGGCCTCTTGCGGGGGTGCTCCATGATGAATGACCAGGCTTGCAAAGGTAAGCCACACTTTTATAAATAAACCATAGCGTTGGGCCCCAGTTGGGCCCCTGGGTGGCTCAGTTGGTGAAGTGTCTGTCTTCGGCTCTGGTCATGATCCCAGGGTCCTGGATCGGGCTCCCTGCTCAGTGGGAGTCTGCTTCTCCCTCTGCCCCCACGCCCAGCTGGTGCTTTAATAAATAAAATCTTAAAAAACAAGACAAAACATAGTGTTCAACGAATCATACCTCTGTAAAGTGCATCTCCCGAGTTCAATTTTGGGGTGTAACAGCTGCAGAGGTCTGCAGTTTGCATCAAAGGATCTCTGGGTTTAAACTGACAGGAGGCATGAGACTGGGTGGGATCTAAAACCATTTTGTGGCACAAAAAAGGGGGGGCAACAAATTACAGGGGAAGGAAGGTGGGTTATCTTCTCCTTTTCAGATTCACTGGAGCAGTCCTTTCCAAAGGGGAGAAGGTTGTAGCACCCTTTAAAAAAAAAATTCTGTGATCTAAAAGGCCTTCTCCCTGGTTTCTGTGTCTCCAGTTGGAGACGTCCTCCCGCCGCCCTGGCCCAAGGCTGGAGTCGGCTTCTCCCTCTCCCGGCTGCCCGCCCCCCCCCCGTCCCGGGGCGTGTGAGTGGCCTCCAGGGAGAGGCTGAGGAGAGAACGGCCCCCACCCGCACCCCTGGGGCTGTGGCAGTTCTTTGCTACAGGTGGGTTCTGAGGCAGCCCCACAGGTAAGCCACCTGCTCCTCGGGGCGGCACACACAGGCCGAGCTTCTCCGATGACAGAGCTAGGGTGTTTATACCAGTGTGGAGACCGCTGCCTCTGGACTTCTCATTCCGATTTCGAGTCCACTCGAACAGAAACTCTCCAAGGCCAAGAGTGCTTTTTTGTACAATTGTTTATACAAATTCAACAAAGGTAAAACCGCATCGGGGAAGGTCTAGGAAAACACCACCTTACAACAATGGCACCGATGAAGGTGTAACTTTACAACGAGGAAAGAAAGAGCCGTGTTCTAAACTTTGAACGAGAACTCAACTCACTTCAAGGGAGAGAAAAAAGGAAAAGGCTATGTTGGATCGTTTATTCTACTTCTTGACCCACTGTATAAATTAGACCTGTGTAGAATACAAGAGCTCATGCCGGCGCAAAACCCTCCTGAGTGCAAAGGCTGAAGTGTGAATTTTAAAATTTTGAGAAATGGGTGAATTCTATACAGAGGAAACTTGGCAACGTGTCTTACTTCGACTATAATTAACATATATCCACATGCTTATGTAATTCTTGACGTACAAAGCAGGCTCTCAACTTCCAGTTAAACATGCTTTTAATTGGAAGGTCTTCACCTGCTTTGCCAGATCTGGGCACGTGTGGAGACGGATTATTTGTATCGATGAAGTACAGGTTAAGTTCTCTCCTACCTTAAGGAAACCAGGAAAGTTGTCAATCTCAAAACAATAAAAACACAGGTATGCATTCAAACCTTGCATAAATAACTTTTAAACAATTTGTACAAAAATAGTTCTGCATAATGTAAGATGTAACAAAACCAAACAAACAAAAAGTGTCACAACGGCAGCAATGTGGTGTGTGGTCCACTTGATGTTGACACCACCCCCCGGAGTTGCAAGGAATGAGGCGTCCAAAACCAAACCACCACCACCATCCAAACTCCTAAGCTCACGCTTCAGTAAGCGAATTTCTTCAACATCCATCCTCCTCTCCCGTGGGAATGTCTTCTTGATAAAGGCTGCCTTTAGAAATGGTCCGGAAAGCAGTGCAGTTACAATTCAGAGAGCCCAAAGCAAAGGGTCCGGTTCCCTCAAACGGGTGGTGGAACGGCTTCTCCCTCGGCAAGACTTGCCAAATGGAATCGTGTGGTCTGTTGTTTCAAGTTCCGAATTGAAAATAAAAGCCCTAGTTTCTGTGAAGTCTTTTCCCCTCCCCGGCCATGTCCCCTCTCCCCACCCACCCCTTATTTACATACTTGTCCTTGGACTAACTCAGTTTCTGCAGGAGTTTTTCTTCCACTTGCCCAAACTGGACACTCACAGACATTTCAGCTATGAACTGCTCACAGCCTTCCTTGGTCACCTGCTTGCAGTACCTCAGGTCAATATGACAGATATTTCCACAGCGTTTGAAGAAGGACAGGCACTGGTCAGTAACCTTATTGCAGTCTGCAGGGAAGAGGGGACACCGTGAGGTGGAGGGACCGCAGACAGAGGCCACAGGCCCCCCGCCCCCAGCCCCCAAACCCCACCGAGCAATGAAGAAACAGGACAGAGCCCTTGAGCACAGTCCAGTCCCCTAGTGCCCTAGGGAAAACTGCACTTTCTGGAAAGCTCTCATTAAATGGGGAATGGTTCTACCTACCAATTAGAAAGGTTCATGTATGCTTGAAAAGCATTCAGACTTCCAAGTAAAATCACTTACGAGCTTAAATCATTGCCTGTTTATATGTATATATTCTCACATAAATAGGTCTCCTGTCTATGCTGTTTAACAAAGATAGGATCACACAATATATTAAATAGCTTGCTTTTCCTATCTAATTTATTGTCGATAAGTACCTCCCTCTGTACGTTACTGTGCACTTACCGGCTTACTCCCTTCAGATCACCAGAGATGAAGGAATTGGGGAGCCAAGGGTGAGAGAGAGAATATCTGTACGGTCATCTTGGGATCCTTTTCCTGATACGGGCACCAGGGCTTTCAAGCAAGGCACAGCGTGCTTGTGAGCCCCTTAGCAAATGTTTACTGGAAACCCATGCAGAAGACCTGGGTGCTGAAAGGGGCCGGCGAGATTCTGTTGACAGCGAGCAAACCCAGAATTTGGAATCCTTCATTCATGCCCTCACTTAGAGACATGCTCTTCTACCCATACTCTATTCATTTATATTTTGCTTTTACCACCCTCTTTTGTTTTAGAACTGAATCCATAGTCGATAGGCTTCAATGCCAGTTAGCATCCAACTGGGGCTCAGAGCTCCCCCTCTGGGCCAGATAAATTCCTTCATCTCTGGTGTTCAGATGGAGGCCTCTATTTCTCATCACTAACGTCTGCACTTTCCTTTTTCCATTCAGGTGAGTAGGAATGAAAACAGTACAGGCAAACTCAAAATAATACAGTCCTAGTGTAGGCCTCATGATTATCCAAGTCCCAGGGTTGGAGGTGGCATAAAGAAGTAAACAAGTTCAGCCAAGTTGCAGGATACAAAATGAACATGCAAAAATCAGTTGCATTTTTATACACTAGCAATGAACAATCAGAAAATTAACAATTCCACTTACAATAGCATCAAAAAGAATAAAATACTTAGGAATAATAGCATCAAAAAGAATAAAAATACTTAGGAATAAGTTTAACCAACGAAGTGAACGACTTTTTACACTGAAAACTAAAAAAGTGCTGCCAGAATTTAAAGATACAAATGGAGAGCTACTCCATATTCACGGGAAGACAATATTGTTAAAATGTCAACATGTCAACACTACTCAAAGCAATCTACAGATTCAGTGAAGTTGCTATAAAATACCAACAGCTTTTTTGCAGAAATACAAAAATCCATCCTAAAATTCATGTAGAAATGTAAGGGATCCTGAATTGCCAAAGCAATCTAGAAAACAAAATTGGGAGGACTCACACTTCCTGACTTCAAAACTCACTACAAAGCCACAGCATGTCTGACTGGCATTAAGGTCATACAGACGAAGAGACCAGAACTGACAGCCCAGAAATTAAACCCTTGAATCTTCAAAGATTTCTGACAAGGTGCCACAACCACTTAGTGGGTAAAAGACAAAGTTTTCAACAAATGGTGCTGGGAAAATTGGATATCCATATACAAATGAATGAAGCTGGACCTTATACCTCATACCATACACAAAATTAACTCAAAATTATTTAGACCTAAACATAGAAGCTAAAAACTGTATGACTTTGAATTAGTCAACAGTTTCTTTCGTTTTTCTTTTTTTAAAGATTTTGAGAGACAGAGCATGAGCAGGGGAGTGGCGGGAGGGGCAGAGGGAGAAGCAGTCTCCCCACTAAGCCAGGGCTTAATCTCAGGACCCTGGGATCATGACTGGAGCTGAAGGCAAACACTTAACTGACTGAGCCACCCGGGCACCTATGAATTTGTCAATGGTTTCTTAACACCACACCAAAAGGACAAACAAAGAGACTGAACTAAAAGTTAAAAACATTTATGCAAATGACACTACAAGTGAGTGAAAAGACAACACACAAAATGGGCAAAAGTATTTGCAAATCATGTATCTGATAAGGGATTAAAATCCAGAGTACATATATAAAGAACTACAACTTGGGGCAGCTGGGTGGCTCAGTTCCGACTCTTGATTTCAGCTCAGGTCATGATCTCATGGTTGTGAGATGGAGCCCTGCATTGGGCTCTGTGCTGAGCATGGAGCCTGCTTCGAATACTCCCTCTGCTTCTGCCCACCCCTGGCTTGTGCATGTGCTCTCTCTCAAAAACAAAAACTCTTACAACTCAACAACAAAAAAATCCACAACCTACCTGATTAAAAAATGGGAAAAGGACATGAATAGACCTTTCCCAAAGATGATACACAAATAGCAAATAAATGAAAAGATGTCCAGCATCACTAATCACTAGGGAAATGAAGGTCAAAACCACACTGAGGGGCACCTAGCTGGTTGAGTCGGTAGAGCATGGGACTCTTGAGATTACTTAAAAGGATACATATTTCAAAACCACACTGAGGTATCACTTCATACCCACTAGAACGGATATAGGTGGAAGAAAAAAAAGATTAGCCAGGATGTGGAGAAAATGGGAGACTTGTGCACTATCAGTAGGAATGTAAAATTGTGCAGCTGTTATAGAAAACAATTACGGTAGTTCCTCAAAAAAACCTAGAATTACCATATGATCCAGCAGTCCATTTCTGGGTATATACCCAAAAGAATTGAAAGCAGGAACTTGAACAGATATTTGTACACCTATGTTCTTCTAGCAGCATTATTCATGATAGCCAAAAGGTAGAAGCAAGCCTACTGTCCAATGATGGATAACTAAAATTTGGGATATACACACAATGGAATACTATTCAGCTTTAAAAAGGAAGGAAATTCTGATACATGATACAACATGGATGAACCTTGAGAACATTATGCTAACTAAAATAAGCCAGTCAACAAAACACTCTTACATAATTCCACTTTTTTCCTTTTTTTTTTTTTTTTAAAGATTTTATTTGACAGAGAGAGAGAACACAAGCAGGGGGAGTGGGAGAGGGAGAAGCAGGCTTCCCGCGGAGCAGGGAGCCCGATGCGGGGCTCGATCCCAGGACCCTGGGACCATGACCTGAGCCGAAGGCAGACGCTTAACGACTGAGCCACCCAGGCGCCCCCATAATTCCACTTTCATAAGGTCCCTAAAAAAGTCAAGTTCACACAGAATGGGGACTGTGAGAGGCGGGGAGTAGGAGGAATGGGGAGTTATTTAGTGGGTACAGAGCTTCTGATGGGGTGAAGAAAAAGTGCTGGAGATGGATGGTGGTGGTGGTTACACAACAACGTAAATGAACTTAAATGCTAGTGAACTGTATACTTAAATATTAAATATTATGTTATGTATTTTACGACAATTTTTTTTTTTTTAAATTTTGGAAGCTGGAAAAGAGGTAACAGTTTAGTAGATTTGAGAAAGCTTAACCTAAACCTTTGAGAAAGCAGAGCAGCAGATTTATTCTGTAAACACCCAAAGGTTCCAGTAGTGGAAGCAACAATCACAGGAAATGGAACTAAAGGGGTTAGATCCCCTCCCCAGCTGAAGAGTGGAGTTTCAGCCTCTGGTCTGGGCACCATCTGGCACAGCAGGCTGGGGCACCCAGCCAAAATCACGGTCTATGGGGAAACTTACCTCCTGACTGTTGAGATCCCCCAGCCTCCTTCCCTTGCCAGGCCCTAGGACACTGGGCAGCCTAGCTTGCACCCTCCAGTTGGGAGGTCAAACAGAATCCTTCTGGCAGCCCTGACCAGCTCAAGAGAAAAGTCTGAAAGATCTCACATCTGGGTTTCCCCAAAGAAACAACCCATGCTGACCACACACTGACTGATGTCCAAAGCCTCTGGTCACCCCAAAGCAGACAACCACGCAGTGACACTAAATCCGAGGAGGATCTCTCATGAGGGCCACTGACTATGTCCGAAGGAGAAAGTATATGCAGGGAGAAGAAAATAAAACTATCAATATCCTCAGGATGGATCTAAGAAACAGGAATAGGCCTCTTTACAAAAGTACAAAGAACAGGTGAGGGCAAAGGATGGGAGGATGTAGGGGGTAGGTGTGAGTTCAGCGAATAAAATAAAAGTGGAAAATTAAAAATATAGGTTGAACCATATGAAACCGCCCATGTTTTGACTGTTTTTGACCTACATAAACAACAGCAATAAAAACCGGGGCACCTGGATGGCTCAGTCGGTTAGGTGTCCGACTCTTGGTTTTGGCTCAGGTCATGATCTCAGGGTGGTGGGATAGAGCCCTGCATTGGGCTCACGCTCAGTGGGGAGTCTGCCTGTCCCTCTCCCTCTGCTCCTCCCCCCACCTGTTCTCTCAAAAAAAATCTTAAAAGAACACCACACTGTATGAATTGTGTGATAAAGTAGAAGAAAACTCCCAGAAAAGCAAGAAAAAAGACACGATGGTGGAAAACAGGAGGAAGAAAAAAAAAAAGGGTATCAGAGCACTAGTTAATACAGAGAAAACAGAAGAAAAGGAAATTAAATAATTCAAGGAAATTTCCCAGAACTGAAGGACATTTGTTTCTAGATCGAAAGGGCTCATGAGTGTGCTGCATGAAAAGATTCAAACCAAGGCTCATCATCAAAAATTACAGAAAACTAGGGGCACCTGGGTGGCTCAGTGGGTTAATAAGCCTCTGCCTTAGGTCATGATCCCAGAGTCCCTGGATGGAGCCCCACATTGGACTCCCTGCTCAGTGAGGAGTCTGTTTCTCCCTCTCCCTCTGCCCCTGCCCCTTGCTCCTTCACTCTCTCAAAATAAAACCTTTTAAAAAAATTACAGAAAAATAGAAACAAAGAAAATATCCTAACAAACTTACAAGTATAGAAAATATTCACCGAAGGATGAAGTACCAAGTGGTCTGGATTAGACTCTGGAAGGCAAAGAAAAAGGAGCAATGCCTTCCACTTTCTGAAACAACATGGTTCCTAGATCCAGCTAAGCTATCAATTAAGTGTGAGGGAATAATAAAAACATTTTGGACAAAAATGTGGGATCAAGGAAAGTGGGGACCCTACACAACACACAGACCAAGAAAATTTCAAGGATGGCAGTGGGAGACAGTCCCAGGCTGAACAGAAGGCAGGAGTCTGGGAGAAAGTCCAGAAAGGAGGGCTCCTGCAGAAACTGGTCGGGGCCAGAGGGATTTGTGTGGGGGCAGAACAGTACTCACGTCTGGTGCAGAGTCTGCTGAGAGACTAAGCAAAAAAGAGGCAATTATTGGGGGGTGGGAGGATGGGTTAGTCTGGTGATGGGTATTAAAGAGGGCACGTTCTATATGGAGCACTGGATATTATATGCAAATAATGAATCATGGAACACTACATCAAAAACTAATAATGTAATGTATGGTGATTAACATAACAATAAAAATTTAAAGATAAAAAACTAATGTATGGTGATTAATATAACATAAAAGGCAATTAATTATTAATTCCAGGAAAAAAAAAATTTGTGCGAGAAGGGAAATGTACTTACAATACACTATTTAGCTCAACAATGGACAGTACTTATGTGGCCATAAAAAGATAGAGACTTAACTGTGAATTAGAAAATAAGGGGGAGAGAAGATATAAGAGCAGTAATCCTTGTGTTCTACACAGCAAGCTAATAAATACAGAATGCCCGAGTGGAAAAAGAAAATCAAGAAATGGCAACACAGGCTTGCTGTGTGGAAGTACAGACAGACACCGGAAGAAAGACTTTAAGGTGGTTTTGTGTGTGTGTGTGTGTGTGGGGGGTGGATCAGGGGAAGAGAAGGGAAGGGCCTGCCTTGTGCACCCAAATAAATATTCTGCGGTGAAATTCAGCCTGAATAACAAAAGCTGGACAACTGTGACTTCACTCTGTCACTAGAGAAGATCCTGCAAGTTCATGGATCCTGAAGCATGTCCACTGTCCTCTATTTTGTGCCACAGACTTACCTTTATCATTAGTTATACCGATGGCAAGGGAAAACTCTGTAAAAAGAGACGACTCTCAAAGAGACTGGGTATAGAGGTCTGCCACCATGTACGGCAGAGCCCTTCACCGGGACGCAGAGCTCCCTGTATGGAGACGAAGGGAGGGCCTTCATGGAAAAGCAAGTGCAGAAGCGGGTTTCCACACGTGGAAGCACAGCACGGTCAGGGGAGGACTGATCCTGGGATCTCGGCCCCAAGGCCTGGGGACTCCTAGTACAGAGTCACCACAATGCCCAGCCCCACCCAGGCCCTTCTCCCCAGGGCAGTTCCAGCATCCGTGCAAGACCACGCGGGGAGCCAGGAGGGCTCTCTTCTCCGCCTCCACAGGGAGGGACAACCCTTGCCACCAAAACTCCCCGAGGAGGAGGAGAATGGCTTCCTAGGTAGAGAACTGTCTCGTGCCGCCAAACCTCCCCATTCCTCCTCAAGTGTGGCACAGTTGACAGGAACGTATGTATCTACCAAGCATGAAGTGAAGGTGTCCTTTATTAGTTGCTAATTTCTGGAGGAAAAAAGTGGTTTTTTAGGTCTTGTGTAAATCTTACATACACAATCTGACATCCTAAGCAATGAGACCAGAACTGGGTGAGCTGGGCAGAGGGGGGCCGCGCGCTCTGTCCACCTCGCCATCAGTCACGCCCCAGGCCCTTGCAGACCAACTCAAGGCCCATCAGCGAGTGAGGATCCTGCAGACGCAGAACCCCGGCGCCAGCTGCAGCGTTTTCTCCCCTCTGACAGGCCCGATAGCGGGGTCAGGAGGGGCGCACTAAGTGCGGACAACAGCAACAGAAACAAAGCTACTTCATCGGTCCAGCCTGCCCGGCCTCACCGCCCACCGCTGCCCTGCTGCCCCCCGTGCAGCGCGAGCCAGCCTGTCTGCACCACCCAGGAGAAGTTCCTCAAGTCGGTATTTTGGGTCAGGAACCACGGCTCCGTGCTCTGGCTGCTACCAGCACCATTTCTTGGCAGCAAGTCTTAGCAATCCAGCAGTAACTACTGTGTTTCATGTTTCTCCTCTAGCCTAGGCCGTCCGTCTGTATTGTTACAGATCTGTCGTCGCCCTAACACCGGGACCCTCTAAGAGCAGGCACACAAAGTACTTCCCCACAAACGTGAAGGTCCCAGCCTGTCCCCCAGGGTCCCAGAAAGACCCTGCTGGGTGCCCCCGACTGACCTGATAGGTTGATTTCGGTTAAGGAGTCTCGGGTGGTGGTGCCCACAGCAGTGAGCAGGTTGATGGACTGGTCAGTAACATGGTTACAGTAACTAAGGTGGAGCTTGGAGAGCAGGGGCATGTGGCGTATGATGAGCCGCAGGGAGGCGTCCGTGATGTCCAGGCCTGCTAGACGCAGCTCCACAATGTTCCGGAGCTTGCTCCGATTGTCCATCTGACCTGAGGGGGCAGGAAGGAGGGAGGCAGCATGTCGACCTGACCGGGGAGATCTGGTCACACTAACCTAACACTAGAAGGCCAACCAGCCACTTGTCACGCTTGGGTTTCACTTGGCCATTGAGTATTTCCCCAAATTAGTTCCTACATTTAAAAATCTAAAGATTCCACATCAAATCTCACACTTCTGGAGTCTTGAAAAATCCGAACATTTTAGAAACACAGCCCTCATTCTACCCAGCAGTACTCAGCCAGTTGGGGCAGGACAGCACAGCATCTCTGGATCACCACGCTTTCCTCGTGTAAGTGACAGGTGGGGAGCAATGGCTCCCTCTTGGGACCCCATCTCTAACTACACCGAACCCCGTGCTTATGGAGGCTTAAAGCCAACGAAGGATAAACGAACAGAGAAGCAGTGAGATGCATGCGAAGACCCCCCAGTGGAGTCTCGGGCGTGCAAAGAAGCCTCTGCTCTCACGCATCGCTTCTATGCCTGAAGGAGCCCGAGAACACATGCACCAGGTGGGTGGGGCCTGTGGTGAAAACCAGATCCAATGGCGCAGCCTGGTCACACCGCCTCTAAGCTGACCCCCTTGGGCATGCCCTGGGCCTGGCCACTCACCTGGCCTGTTGTCTGTGGGTGGGGACAGGAGATCCCGCATCTGGGCGTCCTTCAGTCCTTCTACCCACTGGACATCCAGGGTTCGGAGCAGCGGACAGCTGGAGCTACAGAGTGCGGAGACCGCGATCCACGAGCAGCCTGACAGCACCAAGTCTCGGAGCCCTGGGGACAGAGGCGGCAGATCAGGAGACGCACCCTAGCCCCCACCACTGCACTTCTGGGGTCCCTGGCTCAGTGCTCACCAGGCAACCGGTTGATGAGCCAGCTCAGCTGTTTCTTGGAGATATTGGTCCAGCTGAGGTCCAGGGAGACAGGCTGCCGCCGGATGATGCCACTCAGCATCAGGGGTGTGATGGACTTGCAGTGGTTCAGATCGATGCGGGTCCATAACCGCTTATCGCAGCACCTGGGGGCCAGGCCCAGCAGAGGGGGCATCATCAAACCTGGGGGCTCCTCAAGTGAGCCCCCTGCATGGCTGTGGCAACTTCCCCCACGACCAAGTTCGGGGGTGGGGGGACTCCCTAACTCCACCCTCTGGATCCTTCATTTAATGCCTGTCCTGCCCACACGTGGGCACCTCTGCTCTGCCACAGGCCCCCATGGGAGAAGCTAGTACCTGCTCTGCACTAAGTATTGACTGGGGGCTCTACTACACCCCCTACAGGCCACTTCTCACAACAGTGCTCTAGGCAGACATCGTATTATACCCTTTTACAGGGAAAGGTAAGTAAGTAACCTGGTAAAGGCCAGAAAGCTAGGAAATACCAAAGCTGAAGTTAAGATCAGTAACTGGAACCCTTGCTTTGAACCTGGGCTACCTCTTTAAGGACAAGGACTCCACCTGGTCCTCAGCTCAGCTTCCAAGGGCTGAATCAGGCAATCAACTACGGTTCACCTCTTCTGACAAGACCAGCGTGACCAAATTGCTGTAGCCACCCGGAACTCTTTGAGAAGAATTAAGCTGGACTGAGCTTAGAAGGAAAGAAAGATCACCACGATGACTAAAATGGGGACACATACCCCGCATGTGCCCTTCCCGGTCTAGTCTAAGCCTGAGCCTGGAGCCCGACACCGGGCCGGTCCCTTGCTGCCTCCCCATCCAAGCTCAGCCAGTGCCCCTCACCAGCGGTTCCAGGTCCTGCAGACCCGCATGCAGACACACAAGTCTTGGTGGCTGAGGTAGCTGAAGACGGCCATCCACACCTCCCTGTGCATCACGTGGGCCGCCCCGTCATCCAGGGGCAGTGAGTCAGGCGGGGGGCTGATGGGGGGTGGCCGAATCACGTGTCGCTCCATCTGGATGCACTTGGGCGGGGACACGGAGGGAGGGGGCCGGGAGATGACACGGGGTGGGCTGCGCAGGCCAGGCCCCAGCTGATGCCGCAGCTCCCGAGGGGTGCCGGTGAGCCCCTTGCTGAAGCGGTGGGGGCGCTCGCAGAGGCCCAGGGGCCGCTTGGGCTCCTCGCTCTCACTCTCGGGCTCTGACTTGATGGGCTGGTGGTTCTCGTTGGCCAGGCTGTTCTCCGTCTTCTGGATCTCTTGGTTCAGCTCCTTGCTCAGCTCCTTGCTCAGCTCCTTGGTGGGAAGCCGCCTTTTCCTGCGTATCTTTACCTTTTTCTTCTCCTCTGGGCCCTCTGCCCCCTCCGTGCTGGGCCCAGCGGTAGGGGAGCTGGAGCGGGAGTGGTCGCTTTCCCGGGCCTTGGGGGGTGCCTCGGGCAGGTCATCCTCCGGCTCCTGCTTGAAGCGCCGGAGAGGCTTGTTGGCAAGAGCCATCCGGTCCTCGGCGTTCTTCCAAGACCGCCGCTGAGGGAGGAGGGGGAGCGAGGGCAGCTAAGCCCCTAGGCTCAGGGCTGCACCCACCCAGGCCTCCCCACCCTCCCACGTGGGATCCACTGACCCAGGGGCAGGCGTGGGGGGAGGAGAAAACAGGAGAATGGAAAACGGTACCTTTTTCCTAAAAAGCTTATCTTCTTTGCCAGGTTTTAGCTGTCACAGGAAAAAAAAGCATGCAGAGCTTGCTCCCGGGGTTCATGGGATTTGGTCCCCTCTACCCCCAACCCCACCACGAAACCAGTCTCTAGAGTAGGGGCCGGAGGGTCACCTTTCCCCCAAATCCCATCTCTACTGTGACTGATAGACAGTGGGCCTGCCCTGCTGCTTTTAAGAGAGAAGTTGGAAGGGAGAAATGTGGTCGAACTGTTCCCACCCAACCGACCTCCCACCCTTGGACAAACCCTGAGATGTGCACTGGCCCACTGAGGTCGGACCTGGCCCTGGGAGCCAGTCCTGGAGGCAGGGCCTGCGGGGTTCCCAACGGAGCCTTAATGGCTGGAGCTGGGAAGACAACCAGGCGCCACCTCGTGGCCGAAGCGGAAAGGGCCGGTGGGCGGAGCGGGGCCGCCAGGATCCTCCGAGGTTCCCAGATCCACAGGGCTTCCCCGCGGCAGCTTCAGCTTCCCAGGCTCCTCGCCAGAACCACGAGCCAGCGATCCGGGACTGGGGCCTGGGAAGCTGCGGCGACCTCGGCAATGGGCTGGAGGACCCGGGGGGAGGGGGACCGCGGGGGCGGCCCGGGACTCGCAAGTCCCCAGGGCCTCGGGAGGGCGGGGCGACGTGGGAGCACCTGCTGCTGGAAGTAAGTGAGACTGGATCTCCACCAGGGGCTGAGGCTGCTGCCTAGAGGGGGCCTCGGCGGGAGGTGAGAGGAGGAACCGGGGGACGTTTGCAGCGTCGAGGCCTAGAGGGGCGGGAAGAGGAGTGACTCGCTGGTTTTCCCCTCCTTTCCTTTGGGTCGGGCTCTCAGGACTTATGTGACCTGCTCAGGGCAGCAAGAGGCCAGGACCCCGAGTCCTCCCCGCTGCCCATCCCCGCCCCCGCGCCCCACACCCGAGACCAGCCAGGCCACCCCTCGCTGCCCCGCTCCTCCCGGTCCGTACTCGCTTGCGTCCACTCAGCTCTTGGGGCTTCTCGTATTTCCGCTTCCTTCTCAGGTGCACGTCGTCCGTCTTTCGGCGCAGGATGCCGTCCGGGGGCACCTTCTTGGGGTGTTCGTCTGACCTGCGCCTAGGTGCCTCCTCACACTCACTCCTCCGCTTGGCAGGCTCCTGCCCTTCCTTGTTGTCCCGGTTCATCTTCTGCTCCTTGAGCAGGGAGCCAGGCAGGTTGGAGGCATACTTAAAGCCAGGGCCACGCTTTTGCTTGTAGGCCAAAAAGAGAGAAGGAACAAACCAACTGTATATCTTTGGACTTGCACCCCTCCCGGAACCCGCAGCACCCCACTGGCCGACAGCGCAGGGACAGGCTGCATCTGGCAAGGCCAAGGTCCGCCCCTCCCAGGCTGACCCCTGGGACTTGGAGCCCGACACTCACTTTCCCGGTCTTGCCGGCGTGGTTACACTTTGGACACTCCCAGCAGTTTGGAAGCTCATCGTTGACCACGCCCTCTGACTCCTTAATCTGCAAAGGACACACGCCAGTCAGCAAGGGGGGGGGACAGAAGATGCCACACCTGCGAGGAACAACAGCCCCCTCCCAAATGCCATTTCTAGCCCATCCCTGACCAAAAGAAAACAAAGGTGGCTCAGACGGGTGGCTCTTGATTCTGGCCAGGGGTCAAATCCTAACTTGCCTCTTACTAGCTCAGTGACCGTGGGCAAATCACTCCATCGCCGTGGGCCGGTGCCCTCAATCATGAAATGGAATGTACCTGCCTCACCACCGTTCTGCAACAGGTCAGCGAGATAACCTAGGTAAAGCGACTGGCTCAAGGCCTGGCACCCAGAAAGGACCCCACCAATTGTTCAGTCATGGAGTAGCACTGTCCTGGGTGCTAAGCGTGAGCAGCTCCGAGGCGCTGTCTCTGATCTAGGAGACTGAAATCACCAGGCAAATAAAGCATGAAGGTCTGACTTCCAAAGGCAGGGAGATATCACAGTGCCCCCTTCAGAGTGGGAGGTGTGTGCAGGAGGATGAGCCTCCAGACAAACCCCCACTACCACCACGGAGGAACCGAGACATTCCAGAACTGAGTTAACATCTGGGGCAGGCCGACCTCAAGCTTGCTAAAACATACAGATACACATAGGCTGACCCCTGGGATGATGGGGAGGTGCCAGGCATGATGACATTCTCTGGGGACAGCCCAGAGCAGTCTCTTCCCTTCAGCAGTGGAACCTGTTGCCTAAGACAGGCAGGCACAGCACGGCGGTCCCCACGAGAAGGCAGCCCTGCCCCGGGCACACCAAGGGAGCAGGTTCTTGGCACACAGCAACTCTAACGCAATCACCTGTTGTTACGGGACCCGCCCTCCCCTGGCCCAGGCCTTGTTCTCCCAGAAGCCCGGAGCCAGGATTCCAGCAAGTGGCACAACCACCCGGTCTCTCCCTCTGGTCTGGGTGCAAGACTCTGGGAACTGTCTGTGGTTCTGAGGTATCGGGAGGTGGGGGGTATGTGTTCATTCCCTCGAAGACACGGGTGGCGGAGGTCTGAACTACTCCAGACTCTTCTTGGCCTCAGCTCATTATCTGACACACAGAGCCCCACAGACTTGGAGGTCCTCTGGGCAAGGAAGCTCACCGGGCCCCCCAGCATCAGCACCACCGGAGGCCCTCAGTGGGGGTGCTGAGCAGCACAGCCAGAGCCCCCTGGGACTGCTCACCTTAAGGCATCCAGGGTGGATGATTTCATTGCAGATGGAGCACTCCATGAGCATGAGGTTAAACTTTCCCTCTTCCTCTTCCACTGTGTCTTCCTTCCCTGCCTCGCCACACACCAGGCACACGGCGGTGTGGGGCAGCACGGGCTGAAGAGCCGGAGAGAGCAAGCCGCGTCAGCAGGGCCGGACCGCGGGGAGCAGGTACAGGCCAGGAGGCGGCAGAGAACCGGCCCAAGCCCTGCCCATCGTTCATTCACTCACTCGTTCCAATATTCAGCTGGCTACCGTCTCTGTATGCCAGATACTCAGTGCCGGGCATAGCACCGAACAAGACAAATAGAAATCTCTGCCAGCCTGAGCCTACATTTTAGTGGAGGGAGGCAGACAAACGGAGAACAACAGCGTATGTTGTGACAAGGGATATGGAGAAAAATACAGCGAGGCGGCCCAGGGGCAAGGGGGGGCAGGGGGGCTCCCTGGAAACACAGAGGCCAGGGCCAGCATCACCTGAAGGAGGGGGCGGGGTGTGACCTGCGACCAGACCCGCGGGGGGCTGAGGCCGCACGTCACCAGCGCGATCACCGCACCGTCCCCGCCACCTTTCCAGGGAGGTCCGCGGGGTCAGAACCATCGTCAGAGGAACACTAAGATGTTATCTGCCTTTTCCAACTATGTTGACATTTGCTCCGGTGAGTGAAACTCTGGCACTCGTCAGGACGGTACTGCGTTAGTCCCTGCCACACGCTTATTACAAAGATCGCCAGGTTTCACTGAAGAAGGGCTCTGATGGGGCAGAAAAAGCTCCTCACCTTATTAAAACTTTGACCCTTGAGTACGTAATCTTTTTTTAAAAAAAATATTGTTATTGGAGTACGTATCTTTGTAGGGTTCTGTACAACCAAACAGGCAGTGTATGCACAGAGCACTGGTGCTGCTAGCCGGAGGGCGCTTATCTCTAGGAAAGGCACTCGTGACTGCACTGTGACTGCGCTTGGGCATTTTCTCCACAGAACATCATTCTACTTGACAGAATAACTGATTTAAAAAAAAAAAAAGAGTATTGGCAGATTTCTCAAAGATGAAATGAGCTGGTCACTTCCAGAAAAACAAATTTATAGCATTTGTTACAAAGGATAAAATTCACATTTTAAAACAAAAATTAGAATTTTGGAAAACTTACATCAGCCACCATGAACCAGACAGCTTCCCAATACTTAAAGACTTAGTTCTAAGGAGATTGGTGGTGGTGTTAACAAATGTGATTACTTTTTTTTTTTCTTTTACATTGTATAACACTGTGTGCCCATATTTGGAATATCTGTATAACTCAGTACGCCAGTGTTTTCCAAATAACCAATGGACGACGTTGTAACATCGTGCATGAGCAAATGAGCTGTTCCGGGGGCAAGAAAGACTAATGAATTTTAATGTAACAGTATGAAAACTTCATTGATACAGTTTCAGATTCCACATTGCAACTAACCTTTAAGAAACTACCACCTGTTGAGTTCCAGCAGAGTATCAGAGACATCCACCACTACCCACCTCCACCTGAAAAGACTATGAAAATACCCCCCTCCCCTTTCCAACTACAGATCTGGGTGAGGCCACATTTTCCTCACATAGTTCCTCCAAAACAACGTATTACGACAAAATGAACACAGACACATATGTGAAAATGCAGGTCTTGTCTAATGAACCGAACATAAAAGAAGAGATATACGAAAACATAAAACAATGCCATTCTTCCTAATCATTTTTGTTTTGGAAGATAGAGTTATTTCTCATAAAAATGTTCTTTATGAAAAAAATGTTCTTTATGTTAACATGTAGTCTGTTCTTTTCAAATAAATTCAAAGTTTTTTTTTTTTAAACTTCTCTGTTTTAATTCTGAATACAGTAAAATAACCCATATCAACAAAGCTCTTCGGGGTCCTCATAATTTTCAAGAGTTCCCAAGACCACACGTTGAGGTATTGCGGGAGGGTCAGCACATAGACTCTCCCCTTATACACACCCACGTCCCAGTACCTGGGATCCAGAGGAAACACACAATTTTTATTACACTGAATTAGAAGAGCTTCAAATAAGCTGGGATATATGGTCCACTAAATGAAAAGTCTCTAAGATGGCACAAACATTTGAGTTCAAATAAATAGAACATTGAAGGCAAAAGAGCCATCATTTGTTCAACAAATACTTAATAAACATCTGCTAAAGCCTGAAGCAAGCAACCAAAAGGGGAACAGTAATGAGGAAGGCAGCTGCTTCCTCGAGCTGTCTGGGAGACAGAACATGCTGAAATCCTAGGAAAACATGGGAAAGTGCCATGGGAAGCAGCAAGTGGCTGGTTGCAGGACTCCCGGGGTGGGGAATTTGGGCTCCTACAGGCAGAGAGAAGTGGGGAGCAGGAAAAGCAAAAGAGACCTCCAACCCACATGAAAGGTGACAGAGAAGAAAGCAAGAGCATTCGGCAACAGGGGGGCAGGCCTGGCCAGCCGGGGCAGGGGCCGCAGCGAGCCCAAAGCTGGAGGTACTGGGTGGGGAACACCTGGTGGCCAGAAGATGATGTGTGCTGTGGTGGGCAAGGCTAGGGGACCGATTCTGGAATCAGCAGGTAGAACCACAGGCAAAGCCGCCACAGAGCCTCGGGAGAGGACCCCAAGCCCAAGCCAGCAGGGAGATGGAGCTGAACAGTGTGAAGGGAGGAAACCTCGCAAGGAGGAGCAAAGGGAAGGCTGGTCATGGGGAGAGAGTCTGCACATCACAAGAGAAGGGCCTGGAAAGGGAAAAGAGGTGGCCTGCACGTGTCAGAGGTGGGTAAAGCACGCAGGAAGAGCCCCAACGAAGTGGAAAGGGTGGAAGAAGAGTAAGGAGGACGCCAAGGGTCAGGCCAAGACTACATTTACTATTAGTTCCAGAAGCCCCGTCAGGTTGGAGAAAGACACAAAAGCGAGGTTTCCTTCAACACGCACTGTGCCAGGCACCGGGCTAGGCGCCAGAGCAGAGACAGGTCCCGTAACTGGGCCTCGAACACGGGGCGGGGCGAGGCTGAAGAGACAGTGCTGGGTCACGGCCCACGTGCCGAGTTTGAAGCGACACTGTTCTCAAAACCAACAGTCCCTACAGATAACCTCTCTTAAATCCTGACAGAATGCGACAGGTTACATGGACACTCACTCCAGAAAAATGTATATATAGGCATGCACAGAGACAAAAAGCTGTATTTAATTTCAAGGGGACTCCCAAATTTCCTGAAATCCACTGAAATGACCTGGGTACAGGTAACAAAAACACAAGCAATGAAACAAAAATGTACGGCAAAGGAAACGATCCACAGAGTGAAAAGGCAACCTATGGAATGGGAGCCAATATTCAGAAACCCTGTATGTGATGAGGGGTTAGTAAGCAGAACACATGAAGAACCCCAACTCAACAACAAAAACACAAACAATCCAATTTAAAAATGGGCAAAGGACTTAAACAGACATTTCTCCAAAGAAGCTATGGCCAACAGACACATGAAAAGATACTCAACATCCCCAATCATCAGGGAAATGCAGATCAAAACCATTTGGGTAACCATGACCAGAACAACAGTAAATCCCAAGTGTTGGTGAGGATGTAGAGAAAACGGAACACGTGTGCGCTGCTGGGGGGGAATGTAAGGTGGAGCGGCCTCTATGGAGAACAATATGGCAGTCCCCAAAACAATTAAACATAGAGCTACTAGGGCGCCGGGGTGGTTCAGTTGGGTTAAGCATCTGACTCTTGATTTTGGCTCAGGTCATGATCTCAGAATCATGAGATCAAGCCCCAGGACGGGCTCCATGCTCAGCATGGAGCATGCTTGAGATTCTCTCTCTCTCTCCCTTCCCCTCTGCCCCTCCCACCCACTCATGCACGCATATGTGCGTGCATTCTGTCTCTTTCAAATAAATAAAATCTTTAAAAAAAAAAAAAAAAGAGCTGACCGTATGTTCCAACAACTCTACTTCTGGGTATATATCCGAAAGAATTCAAAACAGGATCTCAAAGAGATACTGGGCACCCCCATGTTCACAGCAGCATTATTCACCGAGCCAAGAGGTGGAAGCAATTTAAATGTCCATCAACAGAGGAACAAGTAAAGAAAATGCAGCATATACAAACGGTGGAGTATTATTCAGTCTTTAAAAAGAAGGAAATCCTGACTGGCACAGTTGGTAGAGCATGCAACTCTTGATCTTAGGATCGTGAGTTCAAGCCCCAGGTTGGGCACAGAGTTCATGTATTTAAAAAAAAAAAAGGAAATCCCGATCCATGCTACAATACAGATGAACCTTGAGAACATTATGCTCAGTGAAATAAGCCAGTCGCAGAAGGAGAAACACCACTTATATGAGGTATCTAAAGCAGTCACACTCAGAAAGTAGGAAGGTGGTTGCCAAGGGCTGGGGGAGGGGAAACGGAGTTGTTCGATGGATATAGGGTTTCCACTTGGCAAAATGAAAAGGTTCCAGAGACGAGCTTGCACAACAACTGAGTATATAGGTAATATGACTGCACTGGACACTTAAAAATGGTTAAAATGGTAAATTCTGTTCTGTGTTTTTGACCATAGTAAAAAAGCAAACAAAAAACCATAAAACTAAAAAACACACACAGTATGTGTGGAGGGAGAAGGGGAAGGTGCCCCTGGGCTCGAAGGGACAGCCACAGCCAGAGAGAAAGGCGTACCCGATATGCCAGGCTGGGCCTTCGGAGCTCACCCAGGAATCCTGTCCCTCCTGCTGAGCCTGCTTTCCCACAGGAGCAGAGAGATCACGGAGGCCCGGGGAGCAGCACCCTGTGGAAGGCAGAGCGTGCGTATGTGCTGGAGGTCCTGGGTGCACGGTCAGACCCCGGGACCATGCCAAGTTGCCAGAGTCTGCGTCCACTGCCCTATCCTGCAGCAAGGCTGGGGACGGTGGGACAGTGTGCTGGAGCTGGCCGGGCTCTGCAGCAGACCAGCTCCTAGGCACCATAAATCAGTCCTCTTTATCTGGGGCAGCCCCCTGAGGAGGGGCACTGACCTTTCGCCTAGACCTCTGACTTTGAAGGCAGGACAGGAAGGAAGGGAGGGCCTAGAACCGTCATGAACTGGACCATAAATGTTGGCAGTGGGGTCACAGACAGGACAGGCTGACATCTTTAATGGCAGAGACTTCAAAGTACTTGGTCATCTAGGGAAGGAAGGAGTTCTAAGACCAGCAGCCTATGAAGAAAAAGGAGCCCAGCACGGTTAAGTCTGCCCCCCAGTCCTACAATGTGGAATCTGAAACAGCAGTGGTCTGAGCCCCCTTTCTTCCCACAGGGAGCACCTCTTAGGGGTTTCCGCAACTGGAACATTCTCTTTAAGGGAGAGACCAGACAGACCAAGCAGCAGAACAAGCCAGGGAGGTGGCGTCTGGGTGCAGAGGAGGGCCAGGGTGCTCCTGGGGGAAGGCAGGGCTGCCCCCGCCGCTCTGCCCCCAGGAGCATCCCTGGAGAGGTCGCGCCGCCGCACTCACCGCGATGCACTGCCGCATGATGCAGCTCTGCTTCATCCGCCCGGGGCCCCCAAACTTCTTCATGTCCTTGCAGAAGTGACACTCTCCGCACTCGGTCCGCAGGCAGGCCTCGCACTTGCGGCATCGCGTCCGGCGCCGGCGAGCTCCCGCCGTCGTCCGGTTGGCGGCCAACTTCACGGCCGAGGCCGGGCCCAGCTTCCCCTTGGGCCGACCTACTGCCCGGTTCTGCAGGAGAGCACACGGGACCGGTGAGATGGGCCACAGGGCCGGGCGTCTGGGGCTGATGTGCTCTGGTCCCAACCCCAGGACCTCAGACGGCGGGCCTTATTTAGAAAGAGGGCCTTTACAGAGGTGAGCCAATTAAATTAGGTCATTAGGGTGGGCCCTAATCCAATAGGACTGGCATCCTTAGGAAAGGGGCGATTTGGACACAGGCACAGAGGGAGTGCGTGTGGAGACACAGGAAGGAGATGGCCATGTGACTGGAAGTGTCTATAAGCCAAGGAAGCCGGCAGCCCCCAGAGGCTAGAAGAGACAAGGCAGGATCCTCCCCTGGAGTCTTCAGAGAGAGCATGGTCCTGTCAGCACCTTGATTTCAGACTTCTGGCTTCCGAACTGAGAGAGGATAAGTTTCTGTTGTTTTAAGCACCTCCGTTTTGGGTACTTCATTATGGCAGGTACAGAAAGTGAACAGAGGCCACCCTGCTTCTGAGAGCACGTCCTGGTTTGAGACCCTTCCGTGGCCGCCACGTCTCAGCACAGGCCCCTGCCTGCCTCCGGCCAGGTTCTGCTTCCCCCAAGAGGCCACACACGGCCACACGGAAGGCCTCTGTCCCCTCGGCCAGAAACACAAATCCCCTCCCTACTCCAGTTGGCTAAGACCTACTCATTCTGCAGGCCCCAGTCTACACACTACTTTCTTCTGACCGCCCTCCCTGCCCTCCCTGTCCCGTGTTTGGGGCGCCTTCTATGGGCTGTGTTCTCAGGGGCCTTCCCTCTGAGATACAGAGCTCAGGAAGGCAGTTATCAAGAGTGTCTTGATACCACTGTCCTTTGACAAGATGGCCTAGCACACAAGGATGTGCTCAGCAAACTGAACAAAGCCTGGTAGAATGAGACAGTAACCCTAAGGAGGCTTGACTTCTGAGCTCTTCTCTAAACAGGCTCCAAATGCTTCTTTCCCTGCGACTCAGAAGAAAACAGAAACAGATGAACAGAAGAGCGGTACAGAAATGCCTAACAGTGAACCAGCCAGCCACAGGTCCTGCTCAGAGTCCTGCTGTCCGGGCCGGCAGCCTCAGAGCCCCCTGCCAACCAGGATCAGTTGGGGAGCTCCCAGGCCAGCTGCCAGAGGACACCGTCTGCTGAGGTCCCCTGCACACTTGGCACCGGAAGTGGGAGGGACCAGGATGGTAGTGTGTGCTGTCTGAAGCACCTTTCCAAATAGCAGGAGTCTGCTGAAAAATGGTTTGTCGGTCAGGGAGACAACTCCTTACCCCAAAACTATCTGATCGAATTGGCATCTAATGCCTACAATAGCCCCTTCGCGGCCAATTAATCTCAAGTCCAGTCCCAGCCTTTTAATTTTACTTGCTTGCCACACCTGGATTCCTGACAAAAGCCCCCCTTCTTGTCAGTTCCCCGGCCCAGAAGTGTGGTTACTATGTATCACAACAGTACAAAGGGTCCTCCTTCCAGAGACCCCTCCCCTCAACACCACAGGGGCTATCTAGAAACCTATAACCTCATCAGGAAGAAACACAGTCCACCTTTCTTTGTGAATAAAGTCTCACCATCATTCATTTCTTCCACAGTGCAGTGGTCCCTGCAGAGAGCTGAAAATCTCACACTCCCCCCGCAACCCCCTTTGGTATTGACACCTTGGATCCTTCCCTCCAATTTATTTTCCTAGCAGCCTGCAACATTCAAGGGAGCCCTGCTACTCTGGATCTTTATCCCACTCAACTTGCTCTGAACTCCAGAGGAAAGGGAGACACGAGATGTGGCTCCAGTGGCCCATCCGTCCTCATCGACCCCAGCCTGCTCCCAAAGAGCCACTCCATGCTCAGTCAGGCCCCCCCCTCAGCTAGCCGGGCCAGCAGCGGCCCTGTCACCACTGGGCCTATACGCCACCAGCTGCATCGGGGAAGGGGCGGCTCCCACGCATGCTGCTCTGTCTTCTAGCAGTGAAGGTCCTGTGACCACCCCCCGCCCCCCGGTCACACACGGGAGGAGCTCAGCAGCCCTAACACCTGAAGAGGGATAAATCGGCCTACACATCACACGCGTCCATTCAAGTCAGGTACTGCTGCCAGATGAGTAGTTTAAAAAAAAAAAAAAAAAGGAGGTTTCAGAGCCTTTGGGGTTAGAGAATGATACATAGGGGCCATGGACCCGAACACTAAGCAGCAGACCAAAGAGCAGCAAGTGTGCCAGGCGGAAGCAGCCATGTGAAAGCAGTAACAGCGGATATTTGCTGAAAGTCTGCTACTGATCATTTTACATATGATAGGACCTTATTTTCCCAACAAGAACCCCATGAGAGATGCCATTTCTCAGATGAGGAGACTGGAGGGAGAGGTGAAGTAACTTGCCCATGGTGACGGAGCTAGCAGAGGATGAGCACGCACCCAAACTGAACACCATAAGCCGGAGCTGATGAGCAGGGCGAGAGTCCACTGGAGGGGAGCACACACCCCTGGAATGGGTCCACGGTTACTGCCTTCACACCCATAGTAGGGCAGGTGCCGAAAAGACGTATGGAGAGGCACATTCACTTCCAGAGAAACGGACACCAAGAAGGCTTCTCCCTCTCCTCACAGCGCGCAAGAATCAGAGATCCCACCCCTATAAAAAGTGCATGTCCTGGAAGCAACTCACTCCTCTAAGCCCCGGAACACAGTCAACAAGGTGGACGATTCTGAGCCTCGAGTCGGGCACAGAGAGGACAGTGCAGTCCAACATCCAAGGACAAACCAGGGGTGAAGGGCTCAAACTCTGACCCCCAGAGCAGGACAGTCTAAGGACTAGCTGCTTTGGTGAAGGACTGAAAAAAAATTCCCAGAGTCCAAACACGGCTCTCTCCTCCCACTCAGGAACATCAGGTATAAATAGCCACTGGGCGCCTCTGGCCTTACTGGCCGCGAGGACAGCGTCTCTCTGAAGTGAAACATTGGGCCGATCCAGCCAGTGTCACAGAGCTCAAATGTAACTGAAACAAGCCTACCTTCCAGTGCTTTCCAAAGCACATTCCCATCCAGAGAAGAACTTTTCTAACCCATGGAAAAAACAAATCCTCCTGGATCCTGATGGCAGCTGAGACATCCTGGAAAATGACAGAGCAAATGACAGACAATGTCTTGGAAGAGGTGTGAGGAGGCCCTGTTTTCCGAAGACCTCGACTCAGGCGGTCTCTAGCCGGTGCCAAGTCAAGCCAGAAAAGCTGCTGCTGCCTACAGCCTCATGACCAGCTTCTGTGGGAAGTGGGCGCCAGCTGGCTTGTCAGGAGTCAATCGAGCAACACTTGAAATGCTGGAGCCTAAGACAGACCACCCAGAAAATCAACAGGTGAGAAAGACATTGGAGGGTCTCCGTGAAGGAAGGTAAACAAGCCAAAGCCCTGTCACTCTGGCGTGAAGCTTCTGTCCTAATCTCTTCTGTGTGATATCTAAAGGTTCATCGCCCAATTCTAAATTCCACTCTATCCTACCTTTGCCTCTATTTGTTCAAGTAACCCAGAATGCATCTTTGTTAATTTCAGCACGAACTGGTCTTCTCCGCAAAAGGCAATGATGGCATCCACCGACTTTCCCTTACAAACCAGTCTTCTCAATCTCAAGGCCTCTTGATTTTATCAGCCCAGCTCCACCTGCTAAGGAAATCTACAGTTCACATGCCCCCCCCACACACACAAATCATAGCATTCCAACACCTCTTCTCCACCAGCTACTCCTAAGCACCTTCCTTAAAGGGAACATCAGTACCGCAGTTCTTCCATTCCTTCCACAAATGTTTACAGAGCCCCTCCTATCCATCAGATCCCCTCTTCCTGAATATTCATGGGCAGAACCTCTTCAATCCCTCATCACTAAAACTCTGGGATTAAAATTACTTGGAGTAACCAAATTAATGAAAAGACATCCCATGTTCATGGATTCAAAGACAATATTGTCAGGATGGCAATACTCCCCAAAGTGATCAACAGATTCAATGCAATCCTTATCAAAGCCCCAGCTGGCTGATCCTAAAATTCATGTGGAAATGCCAGGGGACCTGGAAAGGCCACAGTGATCTTGAAAATGAAGAATAAAGTTGGAGGATTAATACTTCCTGATTTCAAAGCTTACTACAAAGCTACAGTAAACAAGACCACGCGGTGCTGGCATAAAGACATACAGATCAATGGAACTGAGAGTCCAGAAATAAAACCTTATAATATTTATGACCGAACAATTTTCAAAGACCAAGTGATTTTCAACAAGTGTGTCAAGACAATTTAGTGGGGGGAAGAATAGTCTTTTCAACAAATGGTGCAGGGACATGCAAAAAGAATGAAGTTGGACCCCTACCTCACACTATATACAAAAATTACCTCAAACGTGGATCAAAGCCCTATATGTAAGAGCTAAAACTGTAAAACTCTTAGAAGAAAACTTAAGGGTAAATCTTCATGACCTGGAATTAGGCAATGATGTCTTGGATATGACACCAAAAGCACAGGCAACAACAACAAAAAAACAGATAAACTGGACTTCAAAACTAAAAACTTTTGTGCTTAATAGGGGCACAATCAGGTGAAAAAGCCCAGAGAATGGGAGAACATATTGCAAATAACACCTCTAGTAAGGGACTAGTACCTAGAATATAATAAAGAACTCTAACAACTCAACAATAAAAAGACAAACATCCCAATTTGAAAATGGGCAAAGAATTTAAATAGTAATTTCTTCAAAAACACATATATAGGGGAGCCTGGGTGGCTTAGTCGGTTAAGCTTCTGACTCTTGATTTCAGCTCAGGTCTTGATCTCAGGGTTGTGAGATTGAGCCTTGTGGCAGGCTTCATGCTGGGCATGGAGCCTGCTTAAGATTCTCTCTCTTCCTCTGCCCTCCCCCCACCACGCTCTCTAAAACAAACAAAACCTAAAAAACCCATATATACAAATGGGGAATAAGTACATGAAAAGATGTTCAACATCACTAGCCAACAGAGCACGTAATCTGCAC